CCCGGCTCGTCCCGACAGGCTGCTGCCACCGCGTGCTGCCCCCTGTCGGAGGAGGCGGTGAACAAAAATTATCCCGGCAAAGCAACCTAACAGCGATGTGTAGAAGCATATCTGGAAGCATTCCCCTTAAGATTCAGATGAGAATCCAGTTGTAGAATTACGCTGTTCTCGCAGTCGCAGTCGCATTCGCGATGACAGTCGCAGTGGCAACGGCAGTCGCAGTCACAGCCTCAGCCTCAGCCTGCATCAGCCTCAGCCTGCCTCAGCCTCAGCCTCAGCCTGCCTCAGCCTCAACCTCAGCCTGCGCAGCCTCGGCCAGCCTCTCAGCCTCAGCCTCAGCCTCAGCTGCCTCACCTCAGCCTGCCAGCCTGCAGCTCAGCCTCAGCCTGCCTTCAGCCTCAGCCTCAGCCTGCCTCAGCCTGCCTCAGCCTCAGCCTCAGCCTGCCTCAGCCTCAGCCTGCCTCAGCCTCAGCCTCAGCCTGCCTCAGCCTCAGCCTCAGTCTGCCTTCAGCCTCGGCCTCAGCCTCAGACTGCATCAGCCTCAGCCTGCATCAGCCTCAGCCTCAGCCTCAGCCTGCCTCAGCCTCAGCCTGCCTCAGCGTCTGCCTCAGCCTGCCTCAGCCTCAGCCTCAGCCTCAGCCTCAGCCTCAGCCTCAGCCTGCCGCAGAATCAGCATGCCTTAGCCTCAGCCTCAGCCTGCCTCAGCGTCAGCCTCAGCCTGCTTCAGCCTCAGCCTAGCTCAGCCTGCCTCAGCCTCAGCCTCAGCCTGCCTCAGCCTCAGCCTCAGCCTGCTGTAGCCTCAGCCTCAGCCTCAGCCTCAGCCTCAGCCTCAGCCTCAGCCTGCCTCAGCCTCAGCCTGCATCAGCCTCAGCCTCAGCCTCAGCCTGCCTCAGCATCAGCCTGCCTCAGCCTGCCTCAGCCTCAGCCTCAGCCTGCAGCCTCAGCCTCAGCCTGCTGCCTCAGCCTCAGCCTCAGCCTCAGCCTCAGCCTGCCTTCAGCCTCGGCCTCAGCCTCAGCCTGCCTCAGCCTCAGCCTGCATCAGCCTCAGCCTCAGCCTCAGCCTGCCTCAGCATCAGCCTGCCTCAGCCTCAGCCTCAGCCTGCCTCAGCCTCAGCCTCAGCCTCTCAGCCAGCGCCTCAGCATCAGCCTGCCTTAGCCTCAGCCAGCCTGCATCAGCATTCAAAATGTGGCCCGGGAATGGAGTTCTGGGAACTCGAAGAACACGAAGTGGCCTACAGTTGGCTCCGGGCATTCAAAATCATGCCCAGGAATGGAGTTCTGGGAACTCGAAGACCACGAAGTAGCCTACAGTTGGCTCCGGGCATTCAAAATCATGCCCAGGAATGGAGTTCTGGGAACTCGAAGACCACGAAGTGGCCTACAGTTGGCCCGGGGCATTCAAAATCATGCCCAGGTATGGAATTCTGGGAACTCGAAGACCACGAAGTGGCCTACAGTTGGCTCCGGGCATTCAAAATCATGCCCAGGAATGGAGTCCTGGGAACTCGAAGACTACGAAGTGCGTCACTGTTGGCTAAAAGAGGAGTCCCCGGATTCCCGCGGCACCCGTTCGGCATCTGTCCGGCATCTGCCCAGACCCCCCTGGGGAGTCATGATGCTCTCTTTTGACCCTAGAAACCTATCAGTCTTCGCTGTTCGGTAAAAGCGGCGCCTTGCGATCCCGAGGACGACCCTTGTGATCCCCCCTCTCATGCGGCAGCAGGCCCTCCGTGCGCCAGGGCGCTTCCGCTGGGGAGCGCGCCCCTGGCTGCAGGGGGGGGGCTGGCCGTGCACCTCCTCGGTGCCCCCCCCCTCTCCCTGCAGCCAGCCCGAGGAGGCAGGCAGCCGCTCCCCCCACGGGAGGAGGCGCGCGTGGCCACGAGCAGCCCGGGGGGGCAGACCGCCGCCCCCCCTGGCGGAGGCGGGGCAGAGAGAACGGCACCCTTCCCTATAGGCCCCCCTCTCGATAGGGCGGCCTCTGGAATGCCGGGCGACAGCGCCGAGGCTGCCACGCCCCCCCGGCAGGCTGTGGTGCAACACCCCGGGGCACTGAGGGGCGCACCTGGAGACCTCTCGAGCTGGCGGGACGGGAGGCACGGGCGCCCAGGCGGCAGCCACCGCGCGGGAGGCGACGCTCGGACTCCCCCCCCCCAGCCACGCCCAGGAGCAGCAGGGGCAGCGCGGTCCCCTCCAGTGGAGCCCGACTCGTCCCGCCCGACGATGGCCTCGCTGACTTGCCCCCCGACTGTTCGCGTCGCCGAGCGAGCTCCCAAGGTGCCAGTGCCAGCGTCCGGTGACGCCGGGGGGAATCAGAAGGACCACAGGGGTCCCACTGAGGTCCAGACCGAGACCAGCGCTCGGACTCCCCCCGGCCACGCCCAGGACCGAGGGCAGGGCGGCCCCCTCCTCGCCGCTGCGCCACTTGCCGGGGGCTCTCCTGGGGCGCCTGGCTCGTCTCCCGCCGGACGACGGCCCACCCGAGCTGCCCTTCGCCTGCGCGCGTCGCCGAGCGCTCTCCCCCGGGGTGCCCGACCCGCCCCGACAGGCCGCGGCCGCCGCGTGCCGCCCCCCCCCCCCCTCCACGGAGGAGCTGACAGACTTAAGGCAGCTCGGCTGCGGGGGCCGCCAGCACACCCCCGGCTCGGGCGCCGTCCCTTCCCAAGGGGGGGCCCTCTCTCGCCCTCTCCGCGCCGCGGCGCCCCCTTGCCGAGGACTCCCCCAGGGCGCACGGCTCGCCCCGACCCGCGACGGCCTCGCCGAGTGGCCCCCCGGTCGGACAGAAGCATATCTTCATGAAGAAGGCTCGGGGCCCCGGCGACGGGAAGCAGCAGAGGCCCACGAGGCGGCCCGCCCCCTGCCGAAACCGCACCGTTCCCGAGCCCGGCGGTCTGCCGGGCCCCCGCCCCGCTGGTCCCAGGGGGGGCGCGTGCCTGCCGTCCGGCTCTTGTTTTTCCCCCCGTCCATGTGGCGACGAACGCTGGCAGCTCGAGCGCCGAAGATTACCACGGCACCCCCCGGGGCGGGGAGCGTGCCGCCCCTGTCCCAGGTGTCCTCTGCCACAGCACCCTCAATGCCGACAGGGCCCTGGCCGCCACAATCAAGGGCATGCAGCGAGCAGGCGGCGGACCCAGTGCGGCCTGGGCCAGATATTGTTCCCAGCGCGGCGGGGGCAACAGGGACCCCAGCCGACACGACGCCGCCTTCCTTCGCTGTTTCCTCCGCTCCCTGGCCTCGTCGCCTCCCTGATTCTCTTGCGGCTGCATCGAGGGGCCGCGGCAGGCCCTCCATGCGCCGAGGCGCTTCTGCTACGGAGCGCTCCCCTGGCCGCAGGGCGTGCTCCGCAACCGTCATTACACCTATGCGGTGTCCCACCGTCTTGCCTGGTCTTCAGGCCTCGCCAGCCATCCGCCGATAACCGGTGTGCCGGACGCTGCCGCTCTCCTGCGGCGCCCTGCGCCGCCATCGCGGCCTGCGCCCATAGTAGGCCCTCTGGCGCCGGCGCGCGTCTCGCCCCGGTGGCCTCCCTGGCCCACGTCGCTCCGCTTCGCCCGCCGTCCACTGGCGCCGCCAGCTCGATCCGTGGCGCTCCCCCGGGATGGCTCCGATCCTGGGTCGCCATTGTCCGTCACTCGCTGTGCTACGGTGTCGCCTGTCGAAGCGCTCTCGTCTCTCGTGCCTATACCCGCCTTCTGCCTCTCGCCTCCCGCCGCGCCTCGCAGGCCCGCAGGTCCCGGCGCCGTGGCTCACCCTGGGGACCGCGCCCCGCCGGTCCACTGGGTCGGGTCTCTGCTTCGCTTGTGGTGCTCCCCCACTGGCCGCCCAGTCTGGCTTGGCGGCCGTCCCCCCCCAGCTGCAGCTCAGTGCTGGCGCTGGTGCCCCCCACGGCGCTTCCCCTGCCAAACTGGTGACTCGCCCGAGTGGGCCCGGCGTCCTCTCTCCCTGTCGCGCGGGGGCTCTCCCCCGCCTCCCTCGTGCAGCGCGGCTTTGATTTGCCTACAGTGTGTCCCCTGTTGCCGGTTCGCCAGAGCAGTCACCCTCTGCCCAGCCGCCGACGCAAAAAGTGTGTGTGGTGTGTGTGCGTGTGTGTGTGTGTGTATGTGTGTGTGTGTGTGTCTGTGTGTGTCTGTGTCTGTGTCTGTGTCTGTGTCTGTGTGTGTGTGTTTGTGTCTGTGTGTGCGTGTGTGTGTGGGTGTGGCCTTTAGATGCGCGTGAGCGGCCGCTTCTTTGACCTTATACGCCCTGCCGCTGCGCGAGGAGCCACGACGCCAAAAAGTGTGTAAGTGTGTGGTGTGTGTATGTGTGTATGTCTGTGTGTGTGTGTCTGTGTCTACGTCTGTGTGTGTGTGTCTGTGCCAATGTGTGCGTGTGGGTGTGGCCTCTAGATGCGCGTGAGCGGCCGCTTCTTTGACCTTATACGCCCTGCCGCTGCGCGCGGGGCCGCGACGCCAAAAGTGTGTCTGTGTGCGGTGTGTATGTGTGTGTGTGTGTCTGTGTCTGTGTGTGAATGTGTGTGTGTGTGTCTGTATGTGTATGTTTGTGTCTGTGTGTGCGTGTGTGTGTGGCCTCTACATACGCGTGAGCGGCCGCTTCTTTGACCTTATACGCCCTGCCGCTGCGCGCGGGGCCGCGACGCCAAGTGTGTGTGTGTGTGTATGTGCGGTGTGTATGTGTGTGTGTGTGTGTGTGGGGGTGTCTGTGTCTGTGTCCGTGTGTGAATGTGTGTGTGTGTGTGTCTGTATGTGTGTGTGTGTTTGTGTCTGTGTGTTCGTGTGTGTGTGTGTGTGGCCTCTACATGCGCGTGAGCGGCCGCTTCTTTGACCTTGTCCGCCCTGCCGCTGCGCGCGGAGCCGCGACGCCAAAATGTGTGTATGTCTCTGTGTGTGTGTGTGTCTGTGTCTGTGTCCGTGTCTGTGTCTGTGTGTGTCTGTGTGTGTTTGTTTGGGCCCTTGCTTCTTGTGTCCTGCCTGCCTTGGCTGGCATCGGCACCTGCTCCTCGTAAGCTCGTGTCCCCCCCGCCTTTCGTGGGCTTCCAGGTCGGCTTCGTTCTCCTGGTCGCCCCACGCTGCTCACTCACTCCCTCCACCTTCGAATCCTGGTCGGCTGATGGCACCCTCACCGCACCGTAGCTTCGTCCACCCACCGTCCACTCTGCCATCCACGCCCGGATGGCTGTTGGCTGCCGGCCTAAGCTGTCTTTGAGGGCTCGGGCACTCCTAGTTTCTGCGCGCGCGCTTCCTGCGTTTAGACCTTCTCCGCCTTGTCGCTGCGCGCAGGGCCGCGACGCCAAGAAAGCGTGTGTGTGTGTGTGTGTGTGTGTGTGTGTGTGTGTGTGTGTGTGTGTGTGTGTGTGCGTGTGTGTGTGTGTGTGTGTTGAGTACGTGCGCGTGCGGGGCCCGATGCTCGAGGACCAGGGCTTTCTCCATCCCCGCCCGCGCGCGCGACGCGCGACGGGGCCAGCGAGGCGCAGCAGGCGACGACGGCGACGGCGACGGCGGCGACGACGGTGCGCAGGCCTCGCCCAGGCCGAACTTGCGCTCGAAGCAGCGGGCGACCGCCCGCTGCCACTTGCCCCCGTCGGCCTTGTGCAGCACCACGGCGAGGGGCTGGTCCCTCTGCCGCTGCCCGCCTGGGGCGGGCTCGGGGAGCTCCTCCTCCTCCTCCTCCTCCTCCTCCTCCTCCTCCTCCTCCTCCTCCTCATCATCATCACTCTCTCCTCCTCCTCCCCCTCACTCCCTCCCCCCCCCGCCGCCGCGGCAGGACTCCCTGCGAGGATTCCCACCGCAACGGGCAGGCACAGCGCCTACCTGGGAGGAGCGGCGCCCAGACAGCCCAGAGGGGTACAGTCACCGGCCTGACCTAGGGAACGATAAGCAAGGAGCGAAGCCATTTTCTGTTCCAAGGAACAACGCACAAGGAACGATAATTAATCCATATAACGCACAAGCAGCGAAAAATGACGCATGCGAACCTGAGAAACGACCGAGCCCCTCCTTTGTGGATGCCACGACAATGGACACCCTAACAGTCCTATCATCCAACTGAAGATGTGTTTAACATGTGTAATACATGTTCTCAAATATATCAAACATGTGTTTAACATATGTAAAACATGGTTGAAGCATCCTTTAGACATCTGGAACTTATTTGGCAGCACGCTTCCTCTCCATGAATCGACTTCCACAACTCTGGCGGGGATATCCTCACCGTGCCACCAAGCTTACGTCGGGCATGTCCACCTGCAGGGGCAGATTCGGGGGAAACAAAAAAAGCCCAAACAAAACAAAACAGATGCTCAAACATAGCCAGCCAAGAATGGTCGGAAGACCGTCCCCCAACTATCTCTTGCCAATTGTTTGAAGCCTCCTCCTGCAGAGGGGCATGCCCCGCCCCAACACCGAGCGGCAGGAGCGCGGAATCCGGCACGAAGGGGCTCTGCCGGCCACGGCGACCTCCTCGGCCGCGCGCGCGCTCCCCGGCCTGGGCAGCCGAGGAGCGGCCCGCGAGCCGCGAGCCCCGCCGGAGCCCCGGGTGGCCCTCGCCTCGGCGTCGCGACCTGGGCCGCACAGGGACATGCCAAGATCGCGGATGCCACGACAATGGACACCCGAAGCAGTCCCATCATGGAATCTTGAACGTGTCTGGAATGTGGGAAGCATGTTCTGAACATGTTTTTAACATGTTGAAGAGCATGTTTAAGACATGTTTAAGACATGTTTTGGGCATCTGGGAATGATTTGGCAACATGGGTCCTCTCCATTGATCGTGCTCCACAATACTATATGTCCTTCTTGGGGGCGCGCGTCCGACCCGAACATATATACCAATATTGTAGTATATCGTTTCCCGAGCGGTGTGGCCAGACAGCGCCCACCACGACGCATATAATACAAGATTTCTCGGTGCGCGCGTCGCCCCTGGGGGGGCGACGCACATATAATATAGATATGTTGGGGTGACGCCGATAAGAGGGGAATATCTGGGAACCGACGAGCCCGGAAAATATCAGGTCTCGAGCTAAACCGTGTTGTCCGTTTTCGCTTTGCTTTCGTTATTCCTCGTCCTGTCTTCGTTCCACCTTTTTGCTGAAAAACGCAATCAAGACGAAAAAGGTCCACGAAATTGTTAGCTCGAGCCCTGATAAGGAGCCGAACTCTATACACCGACGCTTTTTCCGGCCCTGCACTGAAACTCGCACAAGACAACGGATCCTGGTGTATACGGGATCCTGGTGTATACATGTTTCATTATTTCCCCGGGGAACTGAAAAATTATACACCACACCACCGCGACGTCGTCCCCGACCCTCAAAGAGTCCTGGGATTGAAAAAAACGCCCGCAGCTGGAAACGTATGTTTTCCAATATCCGATCAAGAACATGAGACCCTCCGCCGGCCCAAACTGAAGATCACTCGAGGGTGCCCTCCCCCAGGATGCACAAGAACATCCAACATATACGAAGAACAACATGGTACCCTCCTCGTAACCGACCTCGATCTGATACCTCGGTCCGACCGCATCGTGCTGTGAGGAAGGGGCTGCGCAAATACCTGGCACGACTGTGCAATGAGCGCACTCAACATGCGTGATAATACGGGTGACCACATCATCCCTCCCAGCCCCATCCTCCCGACCCATTCCAACCCAGACCATTACATACAATTATTCATTAAACAACAAATTGCGCAATGCAATGGAATCTACACGTCGTTCATTTCTAATCGCGCTCATTTCTAATTGTGCTCGTTTCTGATTGCTCCTGGCCCCCTAGTGGCCAGGAAGAGGCCCAGGATGGAACAATTCGAAATGAAAGGATCTTGGCCCCCAACAACAATCAAATAATAATCTTCGAAAAATTAGAAGTGTGAGCAATGTGTAGTTCAAAGAAAATCCCAAATTCTTGCAATGGGCCTCTTCCTGGCCCCCTAGTGGCCAGGAAGAGGCCCAGGATAGAACGATTAGAAATGAAAGGACCTTGGCCCCCAACAAAAATCAAAGAACCTTCGAAAAATCAGAAATGAACCATGTGTAGTTCCAAAAAACCCAAATGCTTGCAATGTAAGAAGACTACAGTCGGGGCCCTGAAGAAGGAACCCTTTTCGTTGGGGAGGGGCTCCGTGTTCCTTAATTGTTTCGCAGCTTGCCTTGGATGTTCCTTGGGTTTTCGATCGGAAATCGAAATTCAACTTATGGAAAATAGGGGCCTCGTTCCTTATTTAGGGTTCCTTAGGTCAACGCCTCGACTGCATGAAGTAAATAACTGCCTCTCTGACCGAGGACCCTGGGCCGTAACTTGCCGGCCCTGGCTGGGGCCGGGAGGCGGCCTCTCCAGGGGCGGGGCGCGACGAGACATCGGCTGGGCGGCGACCCTCCCGCGCCGCCCAGGCCTGACGGCGCAGAGCGAGGATCGAGGCGAGCGTTTCTGTTGCTCCCATCGTGCTTCAAGGACCACATCCCAGAAATAAATACTTTCGAGCACCCGGAAAAAGAGTCGAAAGAGAGTGTCGGAAGAGTGCCGAAACAAAACAATGTCTCCCAGGGCCCGACACTTGAGAACCCTCGGGTTGGGGGGTGCTTTTTTTCTGACGCTCGACATTCTTTCTGGTGGTCAAAGCTAAAGTAGGTTGGAACATCATTAAAGGAGCGCAGGGGCACACAAATAAATAGACACAAATGACAGTATTCCCCATATGTTCCCATATTTTCTGGGTTTTGTCTTCCCCCCCACTTCCCATATTTTCCAATATTTTCTGGGGAATCGACGATTAATTGTGTCTGTGTTTTTTCCCCTCCTGAATCATAAGGCGAGCGAGCGATCTCAGCGCCTGTCCACAAGACTGCTGTTGCTCATCGCTGGGCCCCTCGGGGGCCCAGCGGGGATCGGTCGGCTTAATGCCCCGGCCGCGGCCCCAATCCGGTGGAAGACCGAGGCGGTCCGCGGCCCACGGGGCCACTCGCCAGGATCGGGGCGAGCAGGGAGGAACGAGGATCGGGGCGAGCAGGGAGGCGGGGGGACGCAAAGTCGGCGCCCCTGGAAGCACGTACTGAAGCGCGTAAGCGAAAACAGAAAGCGAAGCGGGAACCCCAAGCACACGGGCATCGCATGCAATAGACTTCTGAAGTGCTCCAGGAAATCGCCTTCGCCACAGTTGTTTGCAATGCTTCCACACGAGTTAACCATCCGATGAAATCCCGCAGACGCTGCAACCAAGTGTGCTCCAGGCCAAGACGAGCAACCCAAACCTTGCGTGCACGTTTGGCCGATTCGTGATTGGGTCTGCGTTTCCTCCTTGAATACGCATCCACGACAGAATGGACGCTGTCAGGTTGAAAAGTGATTCGTCGAAGAAAGTGTGCGTTGTAAGCCCGACCGAGTTTGCCAAATAGTAAAGTCTGCTGTTGAAGAAATTGCTCGCTGAATTGAATGTGCCCAGCCGGTTCTAGCACCTTGCTGTTGGACGCTCGCGTAGAACACGGCGGTGGTAAATATGTAATACGATGTGTAAGCATCTGGCTTGGGATCCAACCTACTCATTTCAGAGTTGTTAAACCAAGCTGTGCTTAATAAATGCACGTTTTGGGATGTCATGAAGTTTGGTATAGATTAAGCAGGGCACCAGCGCTGGGAATAAATCAGGTGTTCGCCGTTTGCTTAAGGCAGCTTGCTCCCATGCTGTCATACTTGGAGAATTCGGTCAATGCTGTTCCGATTTGCATGTTCGGTTCGGTACCAACTGATCAGTATCGTATAGAGTAGCACCACAGTTTGTCGTGTTTGCTTATATGCAACAGTTTGCCCAGCCAGCGTCCTCAGCGCCACGTTGCTATTTATCTTGATCATCTGGAATGTGTCCCAATGTAAGTCCATTCCAACCTGCGCCCCAAGCAAACCGACGCTGTCAAGGCGATGCTATAAGCTGGCTTGGTTTCCCCTGCTCAGGAGCGTGTCATCGGCGTACAGCAGCACCGAATGATTCCCAGAAGCCGTATCAAGCTTGTCACTTTCACTCAAGATTTCCTCGGCGTTTCGGAAAACCACAACGATCAACATGACGAAAAAAAGTGGCGACAACGGGCACCCGTGTGATATTCTGGACACATCTTTCTTTCAGGAGACTGAAATGCCCCCCACGGCCATGCAAAATCGCCAAGCCTCGTACATATTCCCGATCAGCGTAAGCATGTTCAGGGGTACACCAAAACGGCGCAGCGCTGCAAGCAAATCTTCGACGTTTATGGATACAAATGCTTTTGTTTCCAATCCAGTGCAACTGCTGTAGTCCCACTATATTTCCTGGCGTGCGCGAGCCCGATGGCATCAGCATGAGGGGGGGGGCATACCCTGGACCACATATGGTCGCCTGTGTCTGTGGTGTACGTCTCCCTGGTGGCATGTCCACAAGTCACCTATGTGCGGATACTGCTTCAGGTGGTGGGCATAGCACTGGGATCTTGAGCTGCAGTGGTGGTGGGTGTCTTGGGCTTCGGCCTTCACCGCTTCCCCGGCCTCCTCCTCCTCCTCCTCCACCTCCTCCTCCTTCTCCCCCTTGTCCTCCTCCTCCTCCTCCTCTTCCTCCTCCTCCTCCTCCTCCTCCTCCTCCTCCCTCCTCCTCCTCCTCCTCCTTCTCCTCCTCCTCCTTCTCCTCCTCCTCCTCCTCCTCCTCCTCCTCCTCCTCCTCCTCCTCCTCCTCCTCCCTCCTCCTCCTCCTCCTCCTCCTCCTCCTCCTCCTCCTCCTCCTCCTCCTCCTCCTCCTCCTCCTCCTCCCTCCTCCTCCTCCTCCTCCTCCTCCTCCTCCTCCTCCTCCTCCTCCTCCTCCCTCCTCCTCCTCCTCCTCCTCCTCCTCCTCCTCCTCCTCCTCCTCCTCCTCCTCCTCCTCCTCCTCTCCCCCCCCTCCTCCTCCTCCTCCTCCTCCTCCTCCTCCTCCTCCTCCTCCTCCTCCTCCTCCTCCTCCTCCTCCTCCTCCTCCTCCTCCTCCTCCTCCTCCTGCTCCTCCACTTGGTTTTCCTCCCCCGCTCCTGCCCAGAAATCGCCATCCGCACTTGCGCTGCAGCCCGTTCTGACCAGGACTTCGGAGCGGAGCCCAGCCGTGGCGAGCGAAGCCCCCCCCCCCGCAGGAGGCCGGCCAGAAGAACTAACAAGGTCAACGCCCAGCCTCCTCATCTTCCCTCCTCCTCCGCCTCCTCCTCCTCCTCCTCCGCCTCCTCCTCCTTGTCCTCCCTCCTCCCTTCCCCGGCCTCCTCCCCCAGCCTCCTCCTCCTCCTCCTCCTCCTCCTCCTCCTCCTCCTTGCCCTCCTCCTCCTCCTCCTCCTCCTCCTCCTTCTTTGCTGAAGGCCTCCCGAATGGGCCCAGAGTAGATGGTGTCGGAGGATCGCACCACATCACCGGTGCATCGCCGATGCGCTGGCGACGGCGATGCGGCGCGATCCTCTGACCCCAGTTGGAAAGCCTGGACTCTTCTGGGGAAACCAAAAAAGTACCGACACCGCTTCTCCTGGGACCTCTTCTGGGGTACGTTCTGACCAGAATTTCCAGGCGGTGGCGACGAGGGCCTCCCAGGAGGCCCAAAAAGTGGAAAACCAGCCGACGGTAGCGGTATGGGTACCTTTCCCACTGCTGATCTTCATCGCGTTCCTCACTCCTCCCCCATTCTTGACGTCGGCCAAACATTCGCTCGAGGCTGTTGCGCCCCTCCACGAGGACGAGTGCGAGAGGACAAATTCGTGAAGTAAGGCAGTGGTGATGGAAAGACTGTGGTACAGGCGAGAGAAGTTGGAAAAGTCGAGCAACGACCCTCCTGCTTCTCCTACCCCTCCTCCTCCTCCTCCTCCTCCTCCTCCTCCTCCTCCTCCTCCATTGGCGGTGCCCAAGAAAGGCTGGCCGCCAGCAGCCGTGCTCTCGAACTTTATTCTCAGCTCCCGCAGCTTTCTGTCGGCACCCTGGACCCTGCGCGGATGGGCGGCAGGAGGCGTCGGCGTCGTCGTGCGTCGTGCGTCGTGCGTCGTGCGTCGTGCGTCGTGCGTCGTGCGTCGGCGTCGTGCGTCGGCGTCGTCGTCGTCGGCGTCGTCGTCGTCGGCGTCGTCGTCGTCGTCGTCGTCGTCGTCGTCGTCGTCGTCGTCGTCGTCGTCGTCGTCGTCGTCGTCGTCGTCGTCGTATTCGTCGTCCCCAGACCCGCGTGGAGCATCGGCGGCTCACAAAAGGAGGGAAGACGGAGGGAGCGAGGCCTTCTGGCTGTCCCAGAGGCTCTCCGAGCCTCCTCCGAAGACGGAGCACGGCTCCTCCGAAGGCGCGGGGGCGTCTGAGCAACCCCGCCGCCTTCGGAGAAAGCCTGCCCCCTCTCGCTTCCTCCCGCGGCGCGCGGCCGAGGAAGAAGATTCCATCCTGCCGTGTCCTTCGGAACACCGGCCTCCAGAAATACTTCTCCCTGGCCCCGATCACTTTCTTGACACCGCGGCCATGACTGACACAGTGTCCTTGGCTCGTCCGTAGAGAAGAAGAAGCCTCTGGCGAAGAATTCTCCGCGGCGGAGAGCCGGTCCCCAGAGCCGGCCCGGGGCCGAGGACCAGGTCTCGGGAGCGGCCAAGAGGGGGGTGTCCAAGAGGGGAGGGTGCAAATCATGACCAGCGGCACGTGCGCGGCCCAGCGGGGGGGCCAGGGACGTAATGAAACAAGAAGAGGCGCCATGAAATCTGGGGACATATCATGGCCCACGCCATGATATCCCCCCCCCCTAGTCATCACTCCCCTCATTGCCGCCCCCGAGGGTCCTCGAGCCGGGGCCGGGGAAGGAGGAGTAGGAGGAGGAGGAGGAGGAGGAGGAGGAGGAGGAGGAGGAGGAGGAGGAGGAGGGGGAGGGGGCCCTAAGGGCCGGTGCCAGGGGCTCAGGGCTGGAGCTCCGGCCCGGAAGCGAGAGCCGGGGGCTATGGGGGCCGCGGCTGGGGCGCCGGGGCACGGGGGCACGTGTGGAGTGGGCAAGGCGAAGGGGTATAGGACCCCAGACATGATCGCGTCGTGAAGGAAGAGAAACAAGCAGGACGAGAAGTGTTTGGCTATTTTCGGCCCCGGGGGGCCCTCGCCGGGCCTCGGGACCGTCGAAAGACGACTCGGGACGGGGGTCGGGACTTCCAGGGGCGCCGTCCCGGAAAAATTAGGACGTGGCATGTCCGGGACGGAGACCCAGAGATCCGACGTCGTGATTTGTTCAATACAGGGTCCGCGGAGGTCTCCACCCATTCCCCAAGACCGGTTTTTCATCCTGAATCGTTTTTTCACGGTCCCGGGGCCTGGCGAGGGCCCCTTGAGGCCGAAAATTGCGAAAAACCTGCGTCTTGATTTTGTTCAGTGCGCTGGACCTCTGGGGAGTGGAACGGGGTAGGGAGTGGAGGGAGGAGGGACAGAGCGGAGGGGAGGGGGGGGCGAAGGAGAGGGGAGAGGGGGCAGGGTCACGTGCAGAGCGCCCCGGATGGGCGGCACTGGCCCCTGACTCCAGATCCGCCCTACTTTGGGGAAATTCGTAAGTGCTTGGAATTTCCGCCTTACTTTTCAAGCCCCGCTGATGCCAATTTCCGCCTTACTTTTCTGTTGTTGTTTCCGCCCTACTTCTGTGGATTTTCGCCCTATTTCATGTTGGGTGCAGCAATCTCCGCCCTACTCTGTCGGCTTCTTATAGGTGGATCTCCGACGCAGTTTTAAGTTGGAAAAAAAGCCAAAGTAGGGCGGATCTGGAGTCAGGGGCCAGAGGAGGCAGCCGGGGGCCCCTCGAGCCGAGAGGCCTTGGCGGACTGCAGCCACGCGCGAGGCCGCGCGAGCGGGGGCCGCGAGCCGGAGGCCTCGCCACCACCGAGAAGAAGCCAAGCTTCGAATTCCACGCCGTGCTACTCCGGATTCCATAACAAGGGGGGGGGGGGGGGAGCACATGTGGGGGGGGGGTCTGATTCGAGCTGTCTTGGAGGGTTCGGAGGGGGTCTGGGCAAAGGGCCGCCCTTTCATGCCCTTTCATGGATGGTCTGGGGGGGTCTAAAACTTCTCGTCTGGGAGGGTTGTGACCCCCTCCCTTTTATCACGAAATCTGGAGTAGCCTTGTGGATGCTACGACGGTGGACACCCTAAGGGTCCTAGCATCGAGTTGAACATGTGATTAAGATGTCGGAGAATGTCCTGAAACTGTTACAAATATGCTTTCACATGTTTTAAACATGTTTCAGAAACGTTTTAGACACCTGGGAATGATTTGGCAGCACACTTCCTCTCCATTAATCGGCTTCCACAGTGCTAGTCTCCTTACCATCAGCCAAGGCGGCAATAAAGCAAGCACCGATGGCCCTCAGAACGAAGTGCTGCAGCGTGTGATCCTTACTGGCACATGCTGCGAGACACTGAGCGAGTTTGCCTCTTCAGAGAATGTTCACAGGGACTTCCCAACATCCTGCCGTCTCCCGCTCTCGTACAGTGGGGGCCGATCCACAAGAAGCCTTCCACAAAAAACCCAACCCTGAGACCCCGGGACGTCCATCGAATTTTGGCGTGGGAACGTCACGCTCTCCATGGCAAAACCCTCGAAGCTCGAGAACCCCAAGGCACCCTGGAAGCAAGCGGGGTGCTTCTTGGCATGGGCCCCCACCGTATCTCTCGTCTCCCTGCCGCTCTCCCGTTCTGCCATCTCCCGCTCTCTCATGTAATTGCCCCTCCTGGGTCCAGCTCCGGCTCCGCTCGCGCGGGAATCTGCGGTCCAGCTCCGGCGCTTCGGCGCGACGCGTGTTGGCCTGTGCTCTTTTTGGCTGCCTCTGGCCGGTGGCCGTCCACCTACGTTGAAGCCTTAGCCTTGCGCCGAGAAGAGCCACGTGGCATTCTTCTCCCTCCTCCTCCTCCTCCTCCTCCTCCACTTCCTCCTCCTCCTCCTCCTCCTCCTCGTCCTCCTCCTCCTCCTCCTCCCTCCCTACCCCTCCTGGGCATCACATCGCTCTTCGCCGTCCTCCCGCGCTCTGCGGTCCCCGGACCGATCGGGCAGCCAGAGCTGCAGAGTCGCCCTTGGAGCAGGCGCTGGATTCTCCTGGAGCCCCGGAGGCGCCCCTGGCGCCGCCCATCTGGCGCTGATCAAGCAAGTCCGCGCGGATCTCAGACGAAAACACTGTTTACGAATACGTGCAAACCTTTTGTTTTCCAACGACTCTCCTCCTCCTCCTCCTCCTCCTCCTCCTCCTCCTCCTCCTCCTCCTCCTCCTTCCCTCCCGCGCAACCTCACCGAGATGCTCACCAGCTCCACCACCCGCTCAAGCCGGCCGTTCACGGACACCAGATACGACGTGTCCTCCTGGACGACTGCGTCGTAGAACTCCTCGGGATCCGACTACTCCCACCCGCTTGAAGGCCAGCAACACTTTTTTGGTGGGGGGGGTCCGCCTCGGATCATCCAAAGGCGCCGACAGGACGCGAATAAGAAGAAGCGAACATAAAAGTCAAATCACCTGACAAAGAGGAGGAGGAGGAAGAGAAGGACCAGCATAAACCCAAAACGCATCAACGATGTTGCAATACCCCCTCCCTCCAAGTTCCCTCTTCATAGGCCCCTATAAGGGTTTTTTGGGTTAGAGGAAGTACCCCGATGGAAGACAGCCGTTTGAAAATTCGGAAGTGTGCCAAAACACCCTTCCTGGGACTTCAACGCCGAGGACAACCGTTATTGTTGCGTCTTGACGATGCTGAATCGTGCCGAAATGCCATTCCTGGAACTTCAACATCGCGAATCAACCTGACGCTTACGATCCTGAGGCTTAGGATTAGCACCAGCTTCGCGGACTGGGGTGGTTCGTTTTCAACATGCGGCTCTCGCCTTAGCGCCGCACACATTCGTTTTCAAAGATTGCAAGAGTTTCGCGGATGGAAGGCGGGCAATTTTCAAAATGCGGCTCTCGCCTTAGCGCCGCGCACAGCTGTGAAATGTTGCAAAAGCTTCACGGATGGAGGGGTGCCCGTTTTCAGAATGTGGCTTTCGCTTTAGCGCCGAGTGCATTCGTTTTGAACATGTGCAGGAGTTTCACTGATGGGAGGTGGCCGTTTTCAAAATGTGGTTCTCGCTTTAGCGTTGCGCGCATTCGTGTAAAAAGTTTGCAAGAGCTTCACGGATGGAAAGCTCTCGTCTTAGTGCCGCGCGCATTCGTTTCAAGAATGTTCAACGATTTCATGGATTTTCATGGTTAACGTCCCAGCAATGATATTTCGACATGATGCCGGAATGTAAGACAAATCTCAAGCGAAACGCCCCGCCCGCCCTTTCGACTGGCCTCGGGGTGCGACAGCAGGGAATTAGTTATACGGATAAGGGATGGGGGAGGAGGGAGAAGGGAGGCAAGGTGGAAGGACGGCGAAGGGAATGGGGGTGGGGATGGGGTCCAACACAAAATCATGAAACAGCGACTACGCGGATGACGAGGAGGATCAGAGTAAACCCAATGTGCGTCAACGATAACGCAACACACCCTCCCGTCCCAAGTCCCTTCGTCAGCAGTCCCTACAAGGATTCCTGTTCTATACGAGGAAGCCCCTTGAAATAAGAAAGCCTCATGGGCCTGCCGATCAATCCGCGTAGCAGTTGCAGAAGGTACAGCTCCTGATCGTAACTGTACTAAGCAAATCCAAGCGAAACCATATGCTTGAAGGCTGGCGGCCTCCATCTACGCCGTGTGATTGCTTGACGAACCATTACTTGTGGTAATGAAATTTGGAGAAATCTCTGGCGAACGCTTCATTTTCACAAACAGAACCGCCCTCCATCCTTGCAGAAGTTCGAAACTATAGGGCGAATGTGCGCGGTGCTAGGGCGAGACCACGCGTTGAAAACGGGCCGTCCTCCATCTTCCCAAGACAGCGTTCGCAAATTAGTTTTTTTTGTCTGGGGAAGTGGGATCCGTTGCCAGGTCCGCCGCCTTGTTGTCGCCGTCGTCGCCCCGTCGCCGCCTCGTCGCCGCCCGTCGTCCAGGCTCCGTTGCCCGGTCCGCCGTGCAGCCGTCGCCGCCTCGTCGCCGCCTCGACGCCGCCCGTCGTCTGGGCTCCGTTGCTGGGTCCGCCGCCATGGTGTCGCCGTCGCCGCGTCGTCGCCGCCCGACATAGATTATCCTTGTTTTACGGAGTTCGGATCTACCACCCCCCTTTGGACTTATCCGCCCCCCTGAGGATGCGCAGCTTGCATATACCTACTGTACCTCTCATGGTACATTGTACATGTGAACTCACTACATCCCAGCCGAGGCGGAGTCGACCCCCCCATCCTCGCTACATACTACTATGCGCGCGCACTCTTTCAGCAAAAGCCATATATATAGATATATATTGCAACGCATGGGACGAAATCCACACGCGAGCGTCGTCGCGCGCGCATGCTGGAATCCTGCAAAAACAAAAAAATCGTCAAGATTTCAGAATCGACTGCCCCGGAAACATTTATAACACAACTCTCGCAAAGTAATGTTTAAGGCGGCGCGCGCGCGCTCTGACGAGTTTTTGAAACAACCCCGGTTTCCAACATGCGCGCGCATGCCGGAGAATCATTCGAACGCCCTTGCGCGCGTGCTGTGGGCACGATCCCTGTCAAATGATCTCTGTCAAATGACACCATGCGGGTTATTCGCGCCCGTCGGCCGCGCGCGTATGTCGAAATCGACGCACAACCTGCGTCACCGACACGTGGGCACCATCACCGTCATCGGCGTCAGCAGTATCGTCGCCGTCATTGGCCCTGCTGTCGTCGTCAGCGCGTCACCAGCACCGCTGCAATCATCATGTTGTCTGCCGTTGTCGAAGTCACCATGATACTGCGCCCGCCCAAATCAACGACTCGCACTGCAGTGCCCGCGCGTCAGCACGGCCTGCGAGTCGCGCTGGGAAGCACCCAGCGGTCAGCGCTACCGCGGCCGCGACGGTCGCGCCAGGCCAGCTGGCCGCTCTGAGCACGAGCCTGCGCGCGCTAGCGCGGCCGCAGCAATGCGCCAGCCAGCGCCAAGCAGTCAACGCAATCGCCGCCGCATGGGTTTTGCAGACCAAGTTGCGGATGGGTGGGTGGGTGGGGTGATTGCGCGAACATGGAGTTGACAACTTCAAATTCGGCGTTGTGACTTCTCCCTTCTAAAAAGAAATTACGATTTACTCCCATTCCATCTTGGGTTGTCCGTGTCCCCTGGGGATGTGCAAATTGATCCTCCCCCATCGCCCACTCTATAAATTTGAGCTCGCACCATCCCAGCCAAACCGGGCTCGATCATCCCCCTCATCCTCGTCACGCGGGAACTCGTTTATCACAAATCATCATTCCAGTTGCAAGCATCTCTGGCGAAAAACAGGACAGAGTCCACACGCGCGCGTAGTGTCGCGCGCGAATGCTGAATCCATCGGGAGAAAATTGTGTATGAAGGAATTCGAAATCGAATGTCCCGATAACATATTTCAACTATGGTTATCTGCGCGCACGCTCCTGCTAATGCTTCAGAGAACCAAAGGATTTCCGACATGTTCAAACTTTCGACCCAAAGGACCTCAGGCGCGCATGTCGAAATCATTCGAACGCCCTTGCGTGCATGCTGGGGGGGGGGCACGATCCCTGTCAAATAACACCATGCGGGCCACTCGTGCGCGTCGGCCGCGCGCGTATGTCGGAATCCTTCCAACACCTTCATCACCGACACGTGGACACAATTATCGTAGGAGGCCCCTGGGAGGCCCCCAAGAGGCCCCAAGAGGCCGCCACGAGGCCCCGAAGAGACCCCAAGAGATCCCATGAGGCCCCCAAGAGGCCCCCAAGAGGCCACAAACCGCCACCGAGAGGCATCAAAACTGCCTCCAAGAGGCCCCCGAGAGGCCTCCCACGAAATTCCAACGAACATCCACGAGGCTTCTAACCCACAACCCAGACACGGTGGCGGGACTTGCCGTAGGCAGCTAGATCTTGGTCGAAACTCGAACCCTGACATCCGCTGGAATGATTTTGTTCAATCCGCAGCCTCAACAATCCCGACCGCTTCCCCAGGGGCAGAAACTCGTCCTGGATAGATGTTTTGTGGTCCTGGGACCCAGTGACGGCCCCGAGGCCGAAGTCGGGGGAAAACGCCCCAAATCAATGCGTCATATCCTCGGAGAACTGGGCACGAACCTCTTCATCCACCCCTCCCCCTCCGCTCCGCGAAACGGCGGTCGGGAAGACAGGGGCAGCGCCGCCCGCTCCTGCAGCGTCTTGGCGTCGCCCTGCCCGAACCTGGAGGTGTCCACCGAGTAGCTCTCCAGCTGTGCCCTGAAGTCCTCCGCGCGGCCGTGCCGCGCCGCCCCAGACCGCGGGGCGGGCGGCTTCCGGCGTCGCCGAGGTCGTCGCCGTGGTTCGCGATCGACGACCGTGTCCATACTCACGCCCTCGCGGTCTGGACTCCGGGGCGCGATCCCTGAAGGGGCCCTGGGACACACAAATAAATATACACAAATAAAAGGATTCCCCATATTTTCCCATATTTTCTGGGTTTCTGTCTTCCCCCCCACTTACCATATTTTCCCATATTTTCTGAGAATCGACGATTCATTGTGTCTGTGTGTTTTTTCCCCTCCTGAATCCCGCGGGTAGGCGGTCGTATGGGTGCGTCTGGCGCGGGGCATCCTCGGAACAACTCCCCGTATGTCCACTTGGGGCCGCGGCCCACAGGCCTGGCCCGCCAGGCCGTGGACACGGGTATTCCTCAGAGTGAGGGGGCCGAACGGTCATTCATTGTCGCTGGGTGCGTGGCTGAAGTGGGGATCCGTGGTGAGGATTCTGCTTGTTGCATTGAATACTCACTTCTAGCGAATAAATGTTGTCGATCTCCGGAAGCGGTTCCGCGCGCTCTCGCCTCGACGCCGGCTGCATTTTCTTTGAAAACGAAGCTCCCGCTCGAGCGTTGGCTTGAGCTTAAATATGGGCCCTTGGAGGCCCAGCTACGACGACAACGGCTCCCGCTCGATACTTCCTCACAGTTTACCCCGAGACACCCTGGCCAGAGAGGCCCCCGAACTCAGGAACGGCGCTCTCGCTCGAGACTTCCTCGCAAGTCAATCAAGTTGGCGGAGGCCCAGCCACGACGACAAGGGCTCCTGCTCGTCACTTCCTCACGATTTGCTCCGAGAACCCCTGGCCAAGAAGGCCCCCGAACTCGGGAACGGCGCTCTCGCTCGAGACTTGTTCGTAATTCAAGCAAGTTGGTGGAGGCCCGGGCACGGCGACAAGGTCTCCCGTTCTATATCCTTCCATTGGTATCCCGAGAACCCCTGGCCAGAGAGGCCCCCGAACTCAGGAACGGCGCTCTCGCTCGAGACTTCCTCGCAAGTCAATCAAGTTGGCGGAGGCCCAGCCACGACGACAAGGGCTCCTGCTCGTTACTTCCTCACGATTTGCTCCGAGAGCCCCTGGCCAAGAAGGCCCCCGAACTCGGGAACGGCGCTCTCGCTCGAGACTTGTTCGTAATTCAAGCAAGTTGGTGGAGGCCCGGGCACGGCGACAAGGTCTCCCGTTCTATATCCTTCCATTGGTATCCCGAGAACCCCTGGCCAGAGAGGCCCCCGAACTCAGGAACGGTGCTCTCGCTCGAGACTTCCTCGCACTTCAGTCAGTGGTCGACCAGGAAGAGATTCCCCCCGAAAGGTGGTGCCATCGAAGACGAAGTGGGCGGGTATCGAGGGTTGGGGTATATGGAATGCAAGACACGCGTGCCAGTAAGAGCGAACAGTCACGTACTGGCACGCGTGTGGATCCGTGATGAAGATTCTGATTGTTGCAATGTTGTTGTTGCTGTTGTTGTTGTCGTTGTCGTTGTCGTTGTCGTTGTCGTTGTCGTTGTCGTTGTTGTTGGTGCTGCTGCTGTTGTTGTTGTTGTTGTTGTTTTTCATGTTCCTGTTGTTGTTGTTGTTGTTGTTGTTATTGTTGTTGTTGTTGAATGATAATTCCTAAACCGTTATTATTGTTGGACTCCTTACAGGCGCCCTGGCGTTCTCGCCAAGGCGCCGGCTACATTTTCAGTGTAAATGGGGCTCACGCTCGAGCGGTTTGGGGGACCGCCAAACCGGCCCCCAAAAAACAACAACGCTCCCGCTCGAGACTTCCTCCTTTTTTGTTCAGGGCTGGTGTTTTTGCTCGCCGCCGAAAGCCGCCGTCCTAACAAAACCAGCGCTCCCGGTCGAGGTTTCCTCCGGTTTTACTTTGGACTGGCGCGCTAGTCTTTCTCTCATCGGCGCTGCCCCCAGCAAAAACAATGGTCCCGCTCGAGGCTTCCTCCCTTTTTTACTCAAGGCGGTGCTCCTCCTCGCCGCCGAAAACCGCCGCCCCGACAAAACCAGCGCTCCCGCCCGAGACTCCCGTTTTACGCTGGACTGGCGCCCGACTCACTTTTGAACTGGCGCCGCTCCCAGACAGAACAACATGGTGCGAGTGAGTTTCCATAGCTGACCCCAGCCCGCCTCGACAATCTTGCTCCTGCAGAGGTGTCCCCTCTGCGAGCACTCTCGTCGCCAGCTCCTGGATCGACATTTCGAGATAGTCAGCATCCAGACCCCGACAGTCCGCAGGATACCACGCCATCGTCTTTCTGTAGACGCAGGTTGCAGTCGCTAACGTACTCACACTGCGACCACGGAGACGACTTACACGCTCTCAAGGTATACGTATACGGTGCACGTATCGGGATGCAGTTGGTATTGATATCCCCGGCCGCATGCTGGCCCTTGCGCATCAGTTTGCACGTTGCCAATATATTTTCGTAGGCGCGCTTGAGACACGACCGAGGTACAACACATGGCGCGAAGTTGATCCGCATCTCGTGATGACGTCAGCGGCCGAATCACATTGATGCTGCGGGGTTGCGTTGTGGGTTAACACAGGATTGGACTATATTGGACAACCTTCCGGGTTGTACGCTGAACGGGCGATATTTTCGGGCGCTCTCACATGATTCACGGCATTTGCTTGTAGCTGTGCGGGCCCCCTCGTTACGCATCGATGTTCTTTTTGCACGCGCGCCATGTGCACGTGCGACGGGAGGTCCCCACATGGTGGCGCAGTGGTGGACACGAATGCGTGATGTTGTACTCGCGCGGCCTAGTCAGGCCCCGCTGTTTTGTCTACTGGATGCAAACGCCACTGTCGGAACGGTTCAGTCCAGCCACGCGGGCCCCGTGGGCGTCGAGCAAGAAAACGATACTGGACACTTGTTTCGCGATTTCCTACGAGCTACCGGACAGAGTGCGGCGTCTACTTTTTCGGAACCTTTCCACGGCATACATGGTACGTGGACGCCGCCTGGGGCGGCCCCCCAGGACCCGAGACGTCGCATTGACTATGTGACAGTGCCTCAAGCCTCTCTTAATTCGAGCAGTCGACAAGGGGGTGATCCGACAGTGGACCTTTCTATGCGATCTGATGACCATGTCGTTGTTATGGCCGACGTGCAAGTCAGCAGTGCGGGTCCCGTGCGGGCTACTTCCTCTTGGGCCCAAACCCCCAGCGATCCGAACAAAAATCCAAGACACTGAATGCGCAGCAAAGTTTGCTACCATGGTCCGAAATATTCCGCGGCCAGCTTTCCAATTACACCCTGATGACCATGCGGAACATTTGAACGACGAGCTCGTTAGGGCGGTCATCGAGTGCTTCCCCGTGCAGAAGTCGCCAACGGGGCGTTTGCCGCGTCAGTCATGGTTCTCGGTTCGCTCGCTGACGCTCATGGACCGTCGCTCTTCTGGACGACGAGAGCTACGTACGTTGCGAAGACGACTCAACTTACTACTGCTTGATGCTGCCTCTTGTGCGTGGGCCACAGATGGGAAGGAAGTGGAGGAGTGGTTGGACTACCGACAGTGCAGGTGGAGGTGGTCAGTGCGAGAGGGTCCCGCTCGTGCGTTGCTCATTGATGCATGCGGCGCAGTTGCGCATATCGGGTCACAAGTTTTCGAAGCGGAAGTGGAGTTTGCGCAGCCCTTGCAAGATGTAAGAGGTAGGTTATATGGCCCTCCGTTCCTTGTCGTACATCTGGAGGCCTTGTGGAAACTGTGTCGTGCACCAACACCTGGGGGCCACGTAGGTCACCTGCAGCCCAATGACTGCCCCCTGGTAGGTATTCCACGCGCCATGTATCAATTACAAAGTATTACTCCCAACTTCTGGAGGTGGCAGGGTCTCTTGTGGGCCTTCACATACGTTTTCATGCGCGGTACGGCGTTTATGATCAACAAATCTACCACGCTGGACGCCGCCAAACACTGCGATGACATTGCGACCGGCATTCAGGATGCACGGCCCAGGGGACAGGCAGCGGAGGCTTTCGCGGCCTTATGCCGCGTCGGTGCAGGGTCCCCTCGCAAACGCACGCTTAAGGGGCTGCCCATCCTCAAGGATATGCATGCGCAGCCGGTAACTTCGCAACTTCAGGCAGCCCGTCGTTGGCAGCAGCACTTTGGCACGCTAGAGTTGGCAGCAACAGGTCGAGGTACTGGCCATGCGTCAGTCATTATTCGTCTTGCGCAAGCTGTTGCGGCTGCCCGTGCTCTGTCTTTTGGCGTGTTATTCCTGGATGTGGTGCAAGTTTGTTTACCGTACCTTGCTGGAACTACTACTTCGATCGCCGCTCGACGATGATGCCGTTGCTTGTATTGTCAGGGCGGCAGGTCTACCGGCGAGTGCCATGCATGAGCTCGCAAGGCGCATGCGCGAGCTGACACCCATTGTTGAACAGCAAGTGGTGAACGGTACACTACATGCGCACACAGCAGCTCAGATTTCACAATGCTACCATACCCCCTGGTTCCTGTGTGAGGGTTCAAACCAGATTTCACTGCCACAACGTTCGGTTTTCCCTGGGCAACCTCTGTCTGATATATTGTACGAGATGCTTTTGAGTGAATGCATGCGCGCTGTACGAGCTCAATTGGACGCTGAAGGACTAGCCCTGCAAGTGCCTACAGACGATCGCAATGGCGTGCAGTGTATCGTAACGGATGCCGACACTGCTACCACCGTGCCGTTGTTGGACGTTACATTTGCGGATGGCGGCACCATCATTGCGATTGTCCCTGCTTCCGACCTGTATCCTGCCACGTGCCGTGCGCTTACCGTGGTTGCCGATGCGTTTGCTGGCAGAGGCCACCCACTCAACCTCGGCGTTACAAAACGGCTGCCCCTTTGGCCCACCGAGGAGAAGGAGCGAAGAGGGCGAAGCAGCACGCATGGCACGAGCGCAGTGGGCATGTGGTTGCGCAGACACAGCTACTTGGGACGGTACGGGCACCGATTGTCAAGCACTATGTACATCTTGGTTCAGTTATTTATTCCCAAGGCAACATGGGGCCCGAAGTCCGACATCGAGCCCGCAATACCACAGCTACTCTACGGGTGTTGCGCACTAGAGTTTTCTCCACCAAGGCGCTTGCCGATCCGACATGTATGATGTTCGCCGACAGTTTGGTGTTATCGGAGCGGCTCTACAACTCGGGTGCCTGGACCATGGTAACAACGGCGGAGGCCAAGATGGCCGACGCTGAAGTCATGGAAGTCTACCGAATTGCGGCGTTGGTTCGTTTTGTGGAAGCCGAATCGTGCATAAGTGACGGCCAAGTGCAGGCCGGACTCAGACGACTCCCGCCCAACGTTCTTAGAAGAGCTGAACGTATCGACTGCTAGGTTCACGATTGCACACACGGCCCTAACTTGCATTTGCCTTACTCCGGGCCGAGTGGTGCGCCAGGTGATGACTGGGAATGGTCATGGATGATTGCTCGCTGTTGCGTGCGACTGCTGTAGCTTGTGCTTCCCCCCCACCACCGCGCGAGGATTTCAGGGAATGGGGGTCCCTCATCCAGGGAAGTCATACGGCTTGGAAACGCATTATCAGGATAGCGCCGCACGCTACAGCCCAATCTCATGCTCGAAATGTCGCGGCGGCCACAGTGGAGGCAAATTGTCTCAGGAAGTCCGTCCCTTGGGAGTGCCAGAACGTGTTTGGGCGGATGTTCACGGTGTTCTTGTAGGCCCACCTACACGTGCAACAGATGATGCAGTCGATGACAGCGTCAAGTGTCCACGGCGCGCGCGTGCTTTCCGGAAGCATAGAGCATTGCGCGCGCATGTGGCGCGTGCCCACTGTCAGGGCGCAGCTCTGGCACGTGCATGGGCGTCGCCAGACGGACATTGTCATGCATGCCTATCTGTATTTCTGCTCTCGGGCTCACCTAGTAGACCCCCCGGCACATGATTCCCCGCGGTGTTTATCTGTACTGATGAGTGATCCTACCACCGCATTGCTGCACCGAGTGTTACTACTTCAGGTGCCGCGCCGTGTTATGATATCACGCACACCGATTTCTCAGCCCCCATGACAAGCAGGATCCCAAGTGCACCGTTGCCTCACCGTCATGTTGTTGTGCCGGCAGATCGCGCCGCTGGCCCTATCACAGAGCATGCGTATTCTGAGATGGCTACGATGGACCATGGCACTGCGCGCTTGGAGATTGCGGCTGCTGACCCCGCTCTCCCAGCTGGGCTTGCTGCGTGCCTACAAGTGCCGGTGAATGTTGCTGTTTTGCCGCCGCCGCCAGCCAACGCCGTTCAGCATGCCACTGAGAGATACCCTGGTCGACTATTCCTGACAGAACGGTACACTGGCATTGCAGCCGAGCCCATGCCGAGAGCTGCCAGAAGAGTTAAATACGTTGTCCTAAATTTGTTTTGTGGGTGGAGAAGGGCAGGGGATGTGCGGGCACAGGTTGAATGGGAGCACTGCAGCTCAGAATATGCGATGTATGTCCTGTCTGTGGGTATAGCCATACACGCAGCCGATGGAAAACTCATGAATCGGGACACGCTCGCAGAATGGAGGTCTCACATCCTTGCGCGACGGGCGGTGGTGTCGGGTGGCGGGCCGCCGTGCGGGACCTGGGCTGCCTCTCGATGGGCAGAAGGCAAGGGCCCCCCGCCACTTCGTAAGCATGACCAGTTATGGGGCAAGACGGCAGCTACTGAACGACATATGGAACAGATGTGGGTGGGCAGTGCGCTATACGATGCTATGCTGGAGCTGTTCGCTGCACATATGCAGGCTGGGGCGCCATGTTGGCTCGAGCACCCCCAGCCGTGTGAATGGTGGCTCCAAGCTGTCAGCTCGTTTACCTGTCATCCGATGCGTGGCGTGCTCTCCAATCGCCCCCAGCAGTCTCGACGACCGATTTTGATCAGTGAACATGGTCAGACGTCAAGGGCCCCCACTAGGATCGTTGCACTTAGACTGCCAGGGCTGCACGCAGCCCTGCTTGCGACCCCTGGAAACAACAGATGCTCGCACGGTAGGGGCGGACACGAAACGCTTCTTGGGCATGATAGGGATAGGAGGGAGTGGCGCGCAGCCAAAAAGAAGACGTCTCCCGCCGGCCTGTGCAAGCGCATCGCTGCTGCAACCGCCGACGCAGCGCGTGCCATGCGGGAAGGGGATGCGGACAGCACTGTGCCCGTTGTTCCGGATGACATGGGGGAGGGCGGTAGTGTACGTGATGGGCTACTGCGGTTCGTTGTCTCCTGGGATCCTTATTCTGGCACTGACGAGGGATGGGCTCCTGACTTTGTCTCACGGCGCATGCGCCGTGTCCGACGCGACCCCGAGCTCGATCGCTTTCGACCGCTGCGCGCCCCCCCGACATCAGAGCAAATTACCTCTTCCACCTCGCAGGTTCGAGATGGCACGGCGGATGTTAGACCTGCAGGCCCACCTGGGGCTGACGATGAGCAGGAGTATGTAGACGCACGTGATTTCCTAGGTGACTCGCAGAGGGCAACAGATCCTCCCCGCCCGCGCATCCCTGTGCCGTTAGCACCTGAAGTGTTGGAGCGCATTGCGCAGAATCGCGCGCAGGCACGTGTCAGAAGAGCTGCTACACTCCAGGAAACGAGACAGGTTCGTTTGCGTGAAATAGCCCCTTGGAACCTTGCTCCTAAGTTTGGCAGAGGCATGTCGGATAGGTTGCTGCCTGTCATTTATCGTGGTTTGACCGGGCAAGTGGAGGTGCAGAAGAGCAAGTGGCTGTCGTCTTCTGTGCCGCCTCTCCCACCCACCTCCCTATAATACGACTGCTCGCTCCCTGGTGGCAAATAGTGCGGGGGGCTCTACGGCATGATGACTCAGGACCATGCTGTTGCTGCCTTCGTTGGCCTCGATTGCGTTATTGGTGTTTCTCTCTCCGTTTGATCTCCAGCTGCCGCCCCAGTTCGATAGGTTTCGGGCGCCGTGCCAGGTGCGGTGAACCTCTCTCGGGGCGGGCAGCCACGCGCGCAGGCCCGCGCCCGCGTATCGGGCGCACCAAGCCGTTTCACCTATCCCCCTTCCCTTCCCAGCGCTTCGGCTTACCACGGTCGGGCCCAAGGGAGGGTTTCGGTTTGTTGGCGGGGA